TTCATAGTTTTTAGTAATTTCATAATTACATATGTATTTCACATTTGTGACTTGCATTAAATTTCTATTAGGAAGTACTGATCCATAAAGTTACCAAAGAACAGAATCAAACCTGAAAGCCACATCCATTTCCTCAGCTTGTAGCACAGCACCAACAATAGGTTGAACCTGGATGACATCACCAGGCTTCACGCCCACATTCTTCTGTGCCAATTCACTCAGGCCAACTTTGCCTCCAGGAAATCCTGAAACAGGCCAGGCCATGTACACCTGCCCAGAACAAAGGAGACAAATAATTTAGAAAGTTCACATTCACAGACTGTCAAGTTATAAAGAAAAGTATGAGGGGGTTTCAAAAAATTTGTGGGAAAATGAAATTTAAAAACTCTGGAATTTTTCCATAAACTTTTTTATGGTCCCTCAAACTAAGCACAGTCAAGTATATGAATCTGAAAAACAGAGTCTATGTCAAAAAATTTACAGTCTGATACAACTTGTAATAAGATAAAGTACACTAAAAATGCATAAAAACTACATGGGTTCACACACACACAAAAAATGAGTTGTTAATGATTACATCCTTTGCAAATCTCAGATAGTAAAGACAGTAAAGATATTAGTAAAGATGGTGTAAGATTTGAAAAGTGGGTTTCAAAAAAGAAACAAAGGTTTAAAAGCTGAAAAGAAAATGAGAATTCATAAAAGGCAAAACAACTGGGGAACAAGCAATCCAGCCTAGAATATAAATTACACCCAGGAAATAATGAAGGGCACAAGGCAAGAGCTTCCTTGAAGCCAAGATCTCATCAGACTTAAATGTTAAGGGAGAGCAATAAAGATTTCTGGCTCAAGATAGTGAGTGAATGAGCTCATACATCTAAAGTCCTCTCTTTTACAAGACACAGCAAAGGATTTTTAAAGGTATAAACCCAGGACAAAGAAAAGAGGAGTACCATCAGCAAAGAGAGATTTATAAATAGTTCCCCAGAGACACTACAGTAAATGAGAGACTACTGACTGGTAAGGAGACAAAAGAAACAAAACAACAGATCCAAGGCGAGTAGCAGGGAAGAAAGCCAAGTTAGCAAAAATGATCCAGGAAAAGGTTCTGAGCATGCAGCCTCAATTCTAATGAATGGCAACAAGGAGAAACAGCTGAAAATAGGGATTGCTGTTAGTTGCCATCAAGTAGATTTCAACTCACAGCAACCCTATGCACAACTAAACATAACACTGCATTGGTCTGTGCCATTTTCACAATTGCTATATTTGAACCCATTGTTGCTGCAACTGTGTGAATTCATCATGTTGGGGGACATCCTCTTTTTCACTAACCCTCCACTTTTTCAAACACAATGTCATTTTCCACAGACTGGTCCCTCCTGACAGCATGCCAAAAGAATCGTCAGTAGTTATCAATACATTCTGATTGCATGTTTGATCTATTTCAGACTGAAGAAGTTGGTAGAATTCTTCAATTTCATCATCACTGGTGTGTAAATTTTTATAATAGTTGCATTAACTGGTCTTCTTTGTAGGAATATGGATATTATCTGATCACAGATAGCATTGTACTTCAAGGCACATCTTGAAATGGCATTTCTGATTATGAATGCAACACCACTGCTCTTCAATTTGTCATTCCTGGCATAGTACCATGTAACTGTCAGATTCAAAATGGCTAATACCAGTCCATTTTAGCTGACTAATACCTAGGATATCAATGTTTATGCATCCCATTTCATTTTGACAACTTCCAATTTTCCAAGATTCATACTTCATCCATTCCATG